GCAGGCATGGGCCCGGGGCAGACAGGGTGGATGGGCCAGTGGAACGGGGTCTTGGGGGTGGACAGGCCGGTGGGACAGGGGTCACGGGATGGATGGGCCGGTGGAATGGGGTCACGGGGTGAAGAGGCTGGTGGGACGGGGGTCACAGGGGTGAGGGGTCAGTGGGATGGGGTCACAGGACTGGACAGGAGAGGGGTCGTGGGGTAAACGGGCCAGTGGGACGGTGGTCGTGGGGCAGGAAGGGCCAGGGGGACAGGGCCACGGGGCTGGACGGGCCAGGGGGACGGGGTCATGGAGCTGGATGGGCCAGTGCATCAGGGGTGATGGGGCTGGACGGTCCAGCGGGAGGGCGGCCACGGGGCTGGACGGGTCAGCGGAACAGGGTGACGGGGCTGGACAAGCAGATCAGACAGGGTCATGGGGTGAATGGGCCGGTGGTGGGGGTCCCTGGGCTGGACAGACCAGTGGGATGAGGGTCGTGGGGGATGGGGTCACAGGGGTGGGAGCAGGCTGGCAGATGGGACCGTGGGGCTGGACGGGCCAGTGGGACAGGGTCCTGGGGCTGGACGGGAGACTGGGCAGGGCCAAAGCACTGGACATGCTAGTGGGATGGGCTCCTGGGGCTGGATGAGCGCGTGAGACGGGGTCGTGGGCTGGACGGGCGAGCGAGACGGGCTCACGGGGCCGGACGGGACAGTGGGATGGGGCCACGGGGCTGGATGAGCCAGTGGGATGGGGGTGGTGGGGCTGAGCGAGTGGAGTGCCCGGAGACTGGGGGCAAGGCAGGCTGTGGCCACCACGGATGCTCAGGTTTTCCGAGGAAAACAGGAAGTTACTAGGGAATTTTGGCCGGAGAAGCGACATCAGTCGTTTTCTGTTTTAAATATCCCGGCCATCTCACAGGCTGACTTGGAAGCAACAGGGCTTGGGTTCGACCAGGGAAGACTGGCGTGGCTGGGAGGGGGCAGGCCATGGGGGGGACCTCAGAGGCGGCACTCAAGGGACTTGAGACGGGCTGGCCGTCGACGGTGTCACTGACAAGGGAGCGGCCCCTCCCAGGCCCAGCTGAGCACTGGGGAGCCCAGCAGGTGAGCAGAGGACCGAGGGCAGTGCGCGGCGTGACCAGGGCGGCAGAGCTGGAGCCCAAGCTGTGCGTCCAGAAGGGCAGTGGCTGGCGGCTGAGTGTCTCCGAGAGGCTGGGCGGGCGAGGACAGACGCATCTTCGCGGGACTTGGCAGCAGGGAGGGTGTTGGTGACTTGACAAAGGCCACTTCCGCCGACGGGCACACGGAAGCCAGGGTGGAGTGGCTGAAGCCCGTGAAGGGTGCGGACGTCGGACAGCTGGTGTGGACGCTTTCCCAGAGGGTCGGGGGAGAGGGGCCGGACGCGGGCGGAGGCGGCTGGCCCCGAGGGGAATTCTGCCCTCGCGGAGGTGGTTTTTGCCTGTGGAGACAGGGCCTTGCTCTGCCACCCTGACCGGAGGGCAGGGGTGCGACCCCGCTCATGGCAGCCTTGACCGCCTGGGCTCGTGCAACCTCCCGCCGCAGCCTCCTGAGCGGCTGGACCCGCAGGCCTGTGCCGCAGCACCCAGTCGCTGTCGTCGGTTTTGTTGTTGTTTGTTTTTGTTTTGTTGAGTCTGAGTCTCACCCCGTCGCCCAGACTGGAGTGCAGCGGCCGCTCCCGGCCACCGCGGCCTCAACCTGCTGGGCTCGGGCGATCCTTCCGCCTC